ACCCATGCTTTTCCTTCGAACGTTCATTCTTTTTAATAATCCACCAGGGAAACAAATTACTTCAAAACGTTTCCAGCCTGCCCGCTCGCAATCTGGGAACAAGAACATCCTCGGTCGTGGTTGCAGTCTTTGTATGACGGAACGGCATTCGGCCAATTTATGCAACATCAGGGGACGAAAGCCATGCGTGCGAGAATGACCGTCGTAAAATAATACTTCCGAAAATCTTTCAAAATAAACCCCTACCGTGAAAAGATTAAGCGGTGGTATATCGTTTATTTTTTTACAATTTTGAGGTTTTCCACCTTGCTCACTAAATTTGTGTCCGCTCATTGTCCACCGTTCACTGTTAGCTGCCGGGCCGACACCGAACAGCTTGTGGGGGCTGCAACGCCGGGCGTAGAGGTTTTTGCTGCTAAGATTTGGGAGCGTGTTTGTTCAAAGCTAAGTTACATTGTTTGTATCACTAATCGATTTTGATTGTATGCTTAGCATTTCCAAGACCAGCACGGGTTGGCCATCTTAATACAATTATTGACCTCTTTAGATCTACAATTTACGTTCACGGAGTCCTCAGTAGGGCTTTGCACGCTCAGTATGTTAAAGTTTTCCGCAGAACCCAGATCGAAATTTTGGCAAATGCTCTCAGTCCTATCACTCAAAAAAGAGTCCAATGCACCTTTAGGAAAGTAAGTGCACGGGAAAATTGCCCCATGCAGTCGTCTGAGACGGCTGATTTCTTCAGTTTACTGCCTCATCACATAACTGCTCCCACTTCTTACCACACGGAGATCATGATCTAAGCAATTGATGTAAGACTGTAAGAACTTGGTGGGATACCATATAGAATGTTAGTCAATATCTCTGTGGAACCAACATCAAAATGTTGGCAAATCTTCTCAGTTCTATCGTTTTGGAAAGAGTCCAAAACACGATTATGAATTTAAGCGCGCCGGCAATTTAGTCGATGCATTCGCTTGACGCCTGATTTGTTCATTTTATGGCCTTATCATAAAACTCCCCCCCCCCCCCACTTCCTATCATACGGGGTCCATGATCTAAGCCATCCATATTAGATTGTAAGGGCTTGATTAGATGCCTTGTGTGTGATGTAACATTCTAAATCGAAACTGTGGAAACAACGTCAGTTCACATATCTTTGGCTCAATCTAGGTGTTCCGCTGTTTGTCAGTCAATTTGAATTCAGTCATGCAAGCAGAGCCAGCAGACAGCTTGGACGTAAACTCGCCTCAATGTGCTCTGCGGTACAACCTATGCCAGCAGAGCGTTAGCCTTTGTGAATGCTGTTTCTGGATTGTTTTGCTATCTCCTACCGGTCTCTGCTCGGAGCCTCGTGATATTTTGGAATATTACGAGGAGTATGCATGTGTGAACATGAGATGAGCATTCCCTTTAAAGCCCCAATGGAGGATTGCGTTTGGAAATCATCTTCTACGTGGAGGACCCCAACGAAGCCGCACGCGCCTAGCACTACGCTCGCGCTGAACTCAGTGATGTGTCGCTGTTCGCGGTCTCTGTGCACTGGGCTTGAGAGCTTGTGCGGCAGCTAGGGTCTTGGTGCGGCAGTTACATTCCGGAACCTGTTGTGGAAGAGCTGCGACGTTTGCGTGAATGACGATTTCGTTACAATATCCCAGATATCGCAGTGCATGTAGGCGCCCAAAAAGTGCTGTGGTCTGAAAGGCCATTACGCACATTCCCGAAACTACGCACATACGTACATCAGCCATGTGCCATTGAAAGAGAGGTGTCCACTGCAACTGCATTCGTACCCACGAAACATCTTTGAGGCAAAAAAGACCACCAGACTGTTAATTTGTAAACACGATTGTTCAGTGATAGCAAAAAGGAATGCCAAAGGTGTTCTCATACCCTAGTCGCGTAAGGCCACATGAACTTTAGACGTGCAGCGGCGTAATATCTAACCTACCAAAAATGTTAATACTTGGGATCAATAATGAAGTAGGTAGCTTCGTGCAGACAATAACAGTGGTTCGTCGGCTAGTCTTAGATGCTTCCTTCAATAACCGAATTCCTCTACATCCTTAACAGGCGACAAATCATGCGAAAAATGCTACCTTGCTGAAATGCCATCGTTTTGTGGGCAACGTTCAACACTTGTGTATGGAGTTAAGGTCATGATCTTAACACCAAAATTAGATTTCGGACTAGATGCACGACTGCACTACAGCGATGCCCGTCCCATGGAACTCCCACGGACTCCAAACACATCGCAGAAGCAAATGACATTTTACCTTCATTTGTATGATTTCTAGAACGCTTGATGTGTGTACGTTTCTGCCACTGTTAACTTGCACGATCACTGTCACACTGACACCGGCAGCACTGCCCTCCAAAGCAACCAGACTGTCCCGACAGTGCGGTTGTCGACTCGGCGGCATCTTCTTGTAGACCGATTGGCCTTGACTTGGCTTTGAAGACACCTGCGCGATTTCCTACTGTTGCCCCCCCCCCCCCGCCATTTAACGCTGTCTCGCGCTCTGATGCAACAGACCGTCATTGTGAGCACATTCGTATTCCGCCACGTCCGGAAAATTCCGCGAGTCAAGGATGGCAACTATGGGCAGTGACTGCTATGGTACAGGAGACGAAACACACCCGACATGGCAAATGCCTTGTAGCCTAAAAAAGCCACACATGATCAAGGGCCCTGAAACTGCTACCGCGCAACGCAATCAAGGACTGAAACAGTCATCGGCCCAACATGGTCAGGAGCCTCGACACCGCCATAGGGTTCGGCCCAGACCCACCGTTGTCAGTGCCATGGCACAGACAGAAGCCTAGACACGTTTAGGGGCTTCATACAGTGTACATACTTTATACAGGGGACCTGATACATCTACGTGCTCAGCGTGGCCAGGTGCTCTGAGACAGTTAAAGCATTAACAGCAAGGGACCCCTTCACGCTGAGATGTCAGCAAGGCCAGGAGTTCCGACACAGTCATGACCCATAACGGTCAGGACCCAGCACAGTCAAGGACCCTGTCACAGCCATAGACCTCCAAACTTATCAGGGCTCCGACACGGCGAAGGGTCCGACTGAACCGGGACGACATGAAAAGAGGCCCAAAACGATCTGGGCTCCAACACCGACACTGGTCATCACTGTCACTGCGCCGCCTGACGCAGTCAGAGGTTCGACATGGCCATGGATCCAACATGGACCCTCACGGCCACAGCATCAGCAGTGTCAGGGGTTTTAGCATGGGGGGGGGGGGGGTGGCAAAAACGGTCGTAGGCCCCGACACAGACATCCCCAAGGCCAGGGACTTGCTCCGGTCGGGGACTCCAAACGACAATCACGGCCGGGGGCCTTCGACACGGCTAGGGACATAATAAATACGGGACAGGCGTTATCAGGGGCTGCGACACAATGAGGGCCAAAGCAAAACCATCGGCATCATATCATCATATATCTAGACATCGCTAAGTGTTAAATACGATCATTGACAACCGCAAGAATATCTTATTCAAGAATATAGTCTAGAACACTGAGCAGGTCATGGGCCAGCTATCATTAAAGGTATCGACCTGTCAGTAGCCCGAACCACGGACCCTGACGTTGCTTTTGAATTGCACCCATTACATAGACCAATTCACTGGATGGATTTTCCCCTGTTTACCTCAGCATACGCTCAGCTAACGAATATTTGTGTTTATGTGTCACTCCTGGTATGTGGGTACATTCAATATCCGGAAACTTGCCAACCACAAATGGCTCCGCCCACTACCGCACTCCGAGTATGCACACTCCAAATAAAATAGTGGTGGGATGTGAGCACATAGAAATTGTGTGCCCGTAAAAAAAATCGACCGGCGCTCGAGCGAATGTCGTAAAAGGACCCTCCAGAACGATTTTTCTTCAATCAGGTTGTGTGGAGACGGTATGTCCCCACAAACCAAGATATCCCCACATCCCAGGTGTATTACATTCTTATGTGTCCGTAAAATAAGTATTTACAAACACACACACACACACACACGCACACACACACACACACATATATATATATATATATATATATATATATATATATATATATATATATATATATATATATATATATGTATATATATATATGTATATATATATATATATATATATATATACACAAAAAGCTCAGACTTCACGAACACGGTTGCCCATGCGTATATGACGCAAACCACTCCGTGGCCTGCGTTCCACTCACTGCGTTCTTCGACGCAGTGAGTGGCGCTGCAGCGCTCGACCAAACCTCATTGCAGGGTGCTGTGCTAGGCTTCGAGGAAGGTCATTATAATGCGTGGCAGCTCGAAAACGCCTCCGTTCCATCTTGCTGCGTGACCTAGGCGCGAAAAGATCTCCATCCTGCCGTGTGTGACGGTCTCGGGTTCGAGAAAGCACCCAGAACTCACTGGCCTGCGGTTGTGTGTCACTAGAACAAAGAGTCTTGAAGCGTCAACGTGTAGAATTTGGCCAGGTCTTTCGCAGAGAACCAGTCAGACTTCTCCAGCACATCCGGCGCGTACTAAAAAAAATTCGCCTCAAGATCGCTTTTGCTGCCGTATTGATGCCCTTTTAGATCATGTAAATATTGTTTTGAGCGCAATTACGCTTGCATGACATTTTAATGGCGCAGGTAATCATCAACTAGCCCAGCCCAACCGGTCAGCCCCTCACTTTACGATAGGGGTGTAGAGATAGCCTGGTTCGTAAGTTGGTTTTGGAGATAGATTGGTCATTTTTCACTACTCAGTTCCCATTTTTCCAACTTATGTTGAGAAACAGGCTTACCATCATTACGCTGCGTCGTGTTTCAATCATCATTATTATGCTTTATGATTATATCAAACGGACGCTGCATTGTACCCACCACAGTCTGTGTGCCAGTGACGTCACAGTGGATGCTGCTAGCAAAACAAGCTTTTCTATGGCCCACAGTACTGGTGACCGGAGTGGTGACGGCTCACCCTGTGGACCTTGATTTGCAATGGCTGCGCCCGGTGGCGTGGTTGAGGCGGCCGGCCCCATAACCATTGGATGTGCAGATTTTCTTGCCTTTCAGGTACGTGGAAGTTACTATAACTACGCGATTTTTTGTAAGGACGTTAGTGACTCCCCGGGGTGTCCATCGGCTCTTTTTTAACTTCAATGCCCCTCGTGAATGGGCATAATTGACAAACTGGATTTAGATAACCGCAAGTTATTTAAGTCGGTTGTCATTAGTGACTATCAGTATCATCATCATTATTCATTACCACAAATTACCGTTGGTAAAAGTTTGAGCCCAGGATAATGCAAGACAAGGCAAGAGAGGTGGATAAGGTGTTCTAAACCATTTCTTGCTGGAGCAGATACTTCAATTTATGCTATTCAGTAGTGCGATTTGTTGTGCTCTCTGCCCATGCAAAGACTTAACCATCCATTAACTTTTAATATTAGAGGTCTGTGATTTCAGATTTCAGTGGCATGTGGTTTTATTCTGACTTACTATTATATAAGATGATTGCATAATTTGTACATTGTGGTGTCAGTTGGTTCATTGATTGCAACATGGCCATAACTGGTATCAGAGCCTGTGCATGTCTTGAAATATGTAAAAGTGGCCTCAGAGGAAGCAGTGACCTTTTGCCTTGACATTTACTTTCCAAATGAGTAACATCTTGCTTTATGTAATGTTTGGCAAAGGAATTAAATCTGGCATTTGAATTTTTCATGAAGAGAACTTAAAAAATCCATTCATCAACCCATCACTCTGTTTAATTGCATATAAGAACATCACCAGGATGTTTTGTTCTATGTGTTGCATGGTTGGGGCTGCCTTGCTTTTACAAGTGAATGCTCAACACTTACAGTATCATATATTAACAATGGAAATGACTTTCAGGAGGTGTTAAAGAAGTCTCGCACCATAGATGATAAAATCATTTATGCACTTAACAAATCATTGCCTACACAGTCTTTTGAGGGTCAAGTGGATGCATCCAAGACTTGCAAAGATCTGTACTCAAAGGTTTGTTGCATATTTTTGTTAAGGTGATGCACGTGATTGGAATGATGGTGGAATTAATGTAATTGTTCTGCAAGCAAGCAAATTGTAGTTAGTGATGTACTGAGACATTAACTGTGTCATCCACCAGCTCTGCATATGTTACTAGGCTGTAAATTTATTTTACCACTGTCCTGGCCAATATGCCATTTTCATTGTGCAGCTAATAGCAGACCCAGTAGATAAAGTGACTGACATCAGGTGTCATGTTTCTGTGACAAGTGGAGAAAGCCAATACTGCTAGGTGGCTATGCATACTCATTGATATGTTGAACACATTGTCATGTGGTTCGCAGGTCGAGCCAAAACCCATTATGTGGTTAGGAACATGTGGGTGTAAGAGTCAGCATCCAGTTTACAAGGCATGCATATCAAGTACTAGGATGACCCATCATTCAGATAGTTTTTGTTGCTGAACTTCTTTGAAGTGAATCAATCAAATACAATTGAGGTACTATGAGCACCATGAGTAGAGAAAAAGTTCTGCCCCATGTCCTCTATCTACCCTAACAGTTTCTTATTGGAGGATGCTGTGTCTGACCTCAGCTAAGGGAAAGCTACCGTGCCCGTGGGGCAGCAATCAGGCGCTGTGTGGAGGAGACAGCCGGCCATGTGGAGGCATTACGGCAGCGGCGTGAGGTCGACCAGGACAGCCAGGACAACTATGACTTACTCAGGGAGCTCCGGAGGGAGCAGTCCAAGGTACTGGACTGGATGCGAACATCAGTCCGCGGTGGTGTGGTGATCGTAACGTACCAAGTGCATCATACTTTCAGATGATGATAACTTTGAGCTGCGTCTGTCGGTGCTAGTGTTTTAAAATTAACGGCTAGGTCCCACACTATCGCCATCACAAAACTTTTAATACAACACGCCTGCCTAACCATTGAACATTGACGCTAAAACACACTTCTAGAAAAATCAGTAGCTTTCGAGGCTGAAAGCAATGTAATTGGTTTAGGTCTCTGCACGTCAGAGTATCTCAAGGGTGTAATTGGTTTGGGTCTCTGCACATCTAGTGAGCTCAAGGGTGTGGTTTTTATGGGTCTCTGCACATCTGATTAGCTCAAGAGTTTCATGTAACTGTGATGTGGTCGGACAGAGTGGGTTCTTTTTTCGTGTTAAACCACTTCGAGGGGTGCCGGCAGTGTAGTGGTTAACGCAGACGCGTTAACAGTGGTGGCTAACGCGCAGTGGTTAACGCGTCTGCGTTAACCACTGCGCGTCTGGGAAACCAGAGGTACGGGGTTTGATTTCCCGCGGTGCCCGCCCTTCCTGCCAGGGTGGGAGGCAGGCGACGCCATATAGCTTCAGCAGCTTAGTGCGTCGTAAAACCCCAATGACACACACACACAACCTTACTTCGAAACCTAAGCTATAAGCAGTTGAAACCAACACGGGTGTCGTCTTTTTTAGGCACCGCTCTCACAACGTGACACGTTGGCTTTGCTCGCCCCGCGTGTTCTATAGCGCATGCGCGCCGGCGATGACATAAAGGCTATGTTTGCATCACCAGCTGCGGCTATACCGGTCGGAGCTGAGCGTAGAGGAAGTGGTTCGCGACCGGAGCCGAGCGATCGTCTCTGAGCGATGTCGACTCTTCTACGCGCCCGACCCATCCACCGACCTGCTCAACAACTAGTGGCTGCCGGCCAGGGGCGGGCCCGGCAACAGCGCGCGCGCCGGCAGCCGTGCGCCGGACCAAGCGGCGGGAGGCCAGAGTGAATGGGGGTGTGTCTGCCGGTATGAGCTTGCGTTGTTTGTAATACATTGCGCGACTTGGTGCCGATGGTGTGTGCGAATACGGGAGTGTGGCCGCCGCCCGGCCGGCAGGCAGGCTGCTGCCAGGTGCTGAACGGACGGTCGTTGTCCCCGTAGTCCGGTCGTGGCTGGCTGTGAGCCGGCCAAGCCGACCGCCCACGGTACAGCGCAGTTGTCGCGCTGTCGTGCTCAGCATGGCGGGACGCACTGCCGCGCGATGGAGGCAGCGTTTCACGCGGGTAGAGCAATATTGTGAACTGCTTGTTCCGTCGGACCATCTATGGGCAGCGGTACCTTACAAGCATGCGTTCGTGTATGTGCAACTTGTTTGGAACACTAGCATGCACGAGTCGTGGGGTCGGCAATGAACTTTGCATGATTTACCAGTTGTGTGATGTAACATTCGACAATCCTCGCTAACTTGAGCACAATTTGTCGGCGATTTTGATATCAGAGGCTGTTACACCGGATGGTTTTTGCAGTATGTATAACCCGTGCACGCACGGATCCCGGTGAGGAGATTCGCGAACATTCGAGACGATCGCGGTCGTTAATTGCACACCGTCAGATCATGGACCTATGATGAACTGTAAGCCTGGAATGGGTTTTCAACTAAGACAGTTGCGAACCCGGGTATAAATGTAGCGTTGCAGCGGGGGGTTTGTAATATTTTTACATCTTATTGCAACCTTGCAGTTTTTCACAAATCCTTGTGGTTGGGTTCTTCAGCCTTTTGAAAACAATGGAGGAGATCCCATACCGCTACCTTGCCTTGTTTGCCCGTAGACCGTTGCTGCGTCATACCGCACACTACTGCAGCAATTTACAAAATTCTGTTAAAAGTTTCTTGCCTTGTGAGGACACCGAAGGTGGTTCTAGGGTGTTACCCTGCCTCGTTTGGCCGCGAACTGCGTTTTCAATATTCTGCAGACCTGCAATAACTTCAAAATCCCATTATAGCTATTGTGCCTTGTGAGAACAATGAGGGTGGTTCTAGGGTGCTACTTTGCTTCTTTTGCAAGCCGCTTTGGCAACAATATTCAAAATCCCAATAGAAAAGCTCTTGCGTCCTGTGAGGACATTGAAAGTGGTTTCTAGGGCGCCACCGTGCCTTTTTGGGCGCACACCGCTTTTCCACATTTTACATTTCAACAATTGGAGAATTTCGGCACTTCAGGGCTTCATTCTCCCTGCAGCTGTTGGAGACAACCGCAGGGTTCTTTGGTGCTCATTTTCCCGTTGGCAGTGGCTTCAGCGTTCTGCGACAGTTTAAAACAACTGTGATAGTTTGTGTCTCGAGCTTTGAAGTCCCGCGTGGTCGATGATGATGCTCCATTTCTTCACGACCTTTTTCAATGCTAGTAGTGCCCCACGTGTTCATGTAACCTGGCCGTCTTTCAAGAAAAATTACTCTCAGTAATGTGCTGCACTCCATTCTCCCTTCGGCACGTATACTGGCGTGAGGCTGGCCGATTGCTTGTGAGACCCACAGGCACGCCGCTGCTCAGGGTGGAGGCTGAGGTTGGGTTTAGGAACATAATGATATAGAGAGCAGTCCAGAGTGGTTCTTCCCTGCTGCGCCCACCTGGCACGGCCTTGGCTGTGATGCGCGGTTCAGGGCATCTCGTCTGCTCCCTTCCAGTGTGTATACAGCCTCAGCATTAAGGTTTATTTTAATGTTAGTATATTTAGTCTTTCCATCCTCTTGCTGGGCTGCCGCCGGTTCCAAAGGTCCTTTTATTTTTCCTGCTTTCAATGAACTCAACGCCTCCGGCCACTATCATGTTGCATTCATTCATCACATTCTGTATCAACTTCCGTTTCACAATTTTGCCCCTCTAGTCCCATCCAGTGGCACATAGGGTTGGGGTAGAGTGTTGCTGCCCAAAATGCGGCCAAATCGGGAGGCTGTAGAAACTGTGAACTCACGTTTGCAATGTTATTTCCTCCATATCTCGACATGTCGGGCCGTTCTACAAAGGCGTGTGGTGCTATTTGGGTTGAGGGTCAGTGACGCATAACAAGATGCACTTGCCTTGGATCCAGGGTTGCTCCCATCCTTGGTCGCCCAGGTAACTTCCTTATCCCTAAGAGGGGTTTGCCTCCCCATTGCCAATGTCTAAGGACTTTATGACTGGTATCGTTATACCGACGTCATAGAGCGTAGCGTGTTTCGCGAGCGTTTTTGCGGGATCCTGGGACGACTTTAACGATTCGCACATTTTGTAATGCCTTGTGACATAGTTCCGGTATTATGAGAGCTGCTCTGCTGGCTGCTCTGCTTCCTCTTGAACGAGATCAGCCCTTCTGCGCGTTCACTTCTGCTCTGCTCTGACGGCCCAAGACCCTGTCTCTATTCGCAGTTTCCAGTGTTGGCATGCATCATAGACATGGAAGCCCTGCGTACATATCGTGCGTGCCTGCATAGTCATCCTTGGTATCACGCGCCCGCTACGTTGTCATTAGTTCATCGAGAGTGTCTTCGGCTTGCCCCGACAACATGGCAACATCGAGAGAAGGCCTTTTTCCTTTAAATCACGCGTGCCATGCGTAGAATGCCCCCTTCAAGAGCCTGAGTGATCTGTGCGCCTTCGAATAGGAGTTCAATGATTCGTGACATTATTTGATCAGTGCTGTCCATAGTATCATCGTGCCCACAATTGAGTCATTATTTACGCTGCATTCGGATGCAGGCCATACCGTGGATTAGGAGCAAGTGAGATATATCGTGTCCAACGAAACCCCGTTCATGTACTTGGTGTAATGTTAAAAGTTATCAGGATTTGCGACTGCGCGATAAAACTTAACTGCAGGTAAAGTTTATTGCCCTGACACTGAGAGCGCTGCCGCGCAGATGCTATCAGAGTGACTATTTCGAGTTGACGTAGTTGTCCAGCTTAATTGGCGGGTGCTTGTTATGTCATGTGATGTCAGGTTAGGTCATATTCATACGGGTGTTATGCCCGGAATGTCGCAAGAAGTCACCTAGAATTGATTCCTGCTTTACGCTTATGGCATGCGTGGACCGTTAGCAACCAGTGCAACATAATCGATAGGGGACAGACAGAACAACGTCTGGTCCTGCTCGGTCCCCCAATTTTGGACTTAGCGCGGTACCGCCTTTGCCGCTGAACCCGTAACACGCGCTGATTCTGAGAACGCAGAAATGTCTTAGTCTGCATCTGCTCATCCCTTCTGTATGGTGGGCATCGACAAGACAACTAAAAGAAAGGGAGTGTTCCACATTTGTGCCGGGTTTTGAACTGGAACGCCCCGTTTAAAGATTGTTCGAAATAGTTTACAGCCCTTCCCTTTTCGAGGCCTAAATCCTAGTTTCTGAGCTACGCGCCCGCGAATATGCGCTATTTCGGGTTGGCAAAAGTCAGTTGGGCATCCAGGGTGCTATAATAACGCCATTTGAGTTATGTTATTCCAGTAAATGTGGGGCGCTCAAAGCCAATAAAAATGTAATCGTCGAATCGCCTTTGCTGCCGCCTTCCACTTACGGTCGTCCCGCGGGTACCGCCGCCTTCCGCTTACGGTCGTCCCGCGGGTACCGCCGCCTTCCGCTTACGGTCGTCCCGCGGGTACCGCCGCCTTCCGCTTACGGTCGTCCCGCGGGTACCGCCGCCTTCCACTTACGGTCGTCCCGCGGGTACCGCCGCCTTCCGCTTACGGTCGTCCCGCGGGTACCGCCGCCTTCGCCGCTTTTCACCGACGTACGCCTTTTAGGTGGCGTCGCCACCGCCGCCGCCTTCCAACGACGGCCTCCCCTCAGGCGCCGCCGCCGCCGCCGCCTTCCAACGGCGGTCTCCTCTCAGGTGCCGCCGCCTTCCAACGACGGTCTCCCCTCAGGTGCCGCCGCATTCCAACGACGGTCTCCCCTCAGGTGCCGCCGCCTTCCAACGGTGGTCTCCCCTCAGGTGCCGCCGCCTTCCAACGACGGTCTCCCCTCAGGTGCCGCCGCCTTCCAACGGTGGTCTCCTCTCAGGTACCGCCGCCTTCCAACGGCGGTCTCCCCTCAGGTGCCGCCTCTGCCGCCGCCGCCGCCTTCCAACGACGGCCTCCCCTCAGGTGCCGCCGCCACCCCCTTTCACTTAAGGTCACCCCTCCCCAGGTGGCGCCGCCACCTCCTCCGCCGCGCTGTCTACCACCCGCCTCTTTCCATGTTCTGCCGATGTATGTGCATGCTTGGCTCATGTGTCCATGTTTTCTGTGCTGTGAGTAATTACTTTATTGGTAATGTAATTGTGCAATGCCATGTAAATAGTGACAATATCGGTGGAAATCATGTCACTGTACCAGTCTAGCTAAGACTTCACATTAAGAACCAGCTGGGCCAGTAGCCAACAAACTTAACTAAGTCTCAATTCATGCGTTATCGCTTTGTATGGTTTTGTGTACCATGGCATGACCTTAGAGGTCGGCGCACTCTAAAACCCCAATCATCATTATATCAAGCCGCCGTCGACACCCTCCGTGCCGCCGGTGGGCTGCAGGACATATTCCTGGACATGGTCCGAAAGCATCCTCTGCTTAAGTGGGAATTCCTTGGAGATTACATCACCGCGCAGTCAGCAACAGTCGGTCATACGACCGAGCCCTCTGCGTCTGGGCGACCACAACCCCCTCCGCAGCCCGCGGCGCCAGGCACATCCGGACCTCCGCCATCTGGCTCGCCCCTGTGCTGCCCCTGTGGTGCATCTTAGGCAGGTAGCCCACAAACGTTGAATCAAATGCACGATCAACACTGGGGCAGCGATTGATGACAATCCAGTGTGACCACATCAAGAGTTGCACATATTTATTTATCACAAAACCATCGTATTCTCTCCAAGCAGTCATTCAACACATCCAGCAACCGTTTAAAACCACGGGCGTCGAAGCGCACCAAACACACGACAGGCAGATCCAGCAAACCTTTGCCCATTACGACAGCACCTCTGCTAATTACGAGATATCAGCAGAAAATCCGTGTTATAGTGTCACCCGGAAACATTAAAGAAGGCACCAGCTTACATTTAGATGGTTCTTTAAAATGGAGGATACAATTTGCAGGCACAGGCTAATACAGCAGGCTGTCGGAACGAACGTGCCGTTTACAAAACGTAGTTAGCATTTAAGCAGTAACACAAGGCGAAAACAAAGCGAATAGTCATCCCGGCAATGAAAGGAATTACCAAAACACGAACGGAGGAAAATACGGATACATTTGACGATCTTTCACTGAGTAAAGGATGCATCCAGCAAGGAGCGCTTCATATAACTCGCTGCCAACGGTGCTTTACGAGGTCACTGGGAATCACGCCGGCATTGTCGCAGATCCACCGCGCCGCCAGCTAGATATCGACAACTCGTGTTAATGACTTCGCGACTGATATTGTCGTAATGAACATCAGGAGATGGAGCCAGAGCGAAAGACTGAACTGCAACCTGGAGCACGTGGATGCTTTCCTTGCCACTTGCAACCGGGACCAGACCCGACGAGATACCGCCACGGAGCAGGTGCAGCAAACGTGCACTACGAGCATCCGGCCAGGGGAATTCGACAAATTTGAGCACCTTCTACACTGACATTGCTCTTGGAGACCAGATGAAACAGTGTCAGGTTCTGAAGCTTGGCGCAAAACGCTGACAAGTTCCATTTCTATTGTACAGCTTGGCATTCCGTGCATTGCTTTTTCCCATCGATCATCACGACCTGCGAGCGATGTGACACCCCACAATCCCGACGAGGTGCCATTTGGCGAATCTTCAATCCGCTTGTTCAACATTGGGCTTGAAATGGTTAACAACGTTCACCACCCAGCTATCGTTAACCCCTTTTGTGTAGTTCCGGATGAACCTGTAGTTCCACACGGTGAAATCGGGTAACTGGTATGGAGGCACGTATTCGCTTTCCGACAGCCGATCTCGGTTCGCGAAGTTCGAGTGTACGTGGGCGCAGACGGTCACCTCAACCCAGCGCTTTTGTATATCTGTAAGGGAAGAGACGGACGGCAATAAAAACTGAATTCGCGAACACCACGCAATACTGAATGCGAATGCAAGTCTAGCAAGTCAAAGTTTTCCAATCACTGTTGCATGACATTCATCATAAGTTAATGCTTGGGAACATAACTATTTAAAACGGTGACAGCTTACTGGTACGCAACAAAGTTGGATCACACCAGCTGCAGTGGAGCGAATGGACACTAAAGTCGTTACGGTAACCGCCGAAGGTAAAATGCAGCCGTCATAATGGGGCGCTCTGGCGACTACGCTAGAGAAAATCTAACCTGTTCCCATTTCTAGGTTTCCTGTTACTGTTTGCGCTGGAGGGTGGCAGCATGGATATCCAAGCACACGAGATCCCCGACTACAAACAAAAAATACATGCCTCGAATTTCCATCAGAACTTACCGTCATCTTCCTCTATGATCATGCCGATCTCGTAGGGGAAGATCGGCCCTATATTATCCCGGATAACCTTCAGATCACAGCGCTCCTTGACCGAGAGGGTGGCGTAGTTCCTCTCGATCTCTGCCAGCGCCTCCGGCGTCACCAAGCCACGAAGGCCAGCGAAGTCACCGTTGGCCAGCTTCTCCGAGACGACTAAAAGGGCCTGGACGATAGGTGATCATTGTCAGGCACCGTTGGGTATGGAACATGCGTAGACGATGATGTATGTAGGTAGCAGGGCTGTTAGCTCTGCGTGGCCTGTCAACAAAGACGTATTCGCCGAACTGGCAAAATCGGAAGCATACTAGCCTTTCTAACCCATCAGGTCATCCATTCATGAGAGCCTCGCATAGTCAGTGCCCTAGTTGCCCCTAGTGCCCTGAGATGACCGCGCCCACCTTCCCTCTCACCCGCGTCACAACTTGCTGAAACGAGCAATATGACACAGGTGTGCCGACCATGTGTTGTGTCCACAGTGAATGACAAGAGGAAAATAGACAGAAACCATCGCTCTAGTAGCATTCCAAATATTGAGATAATTACTCTGAATTGACAGACGTCGTTGGCTGTCAGATCGTACGCCACAAAGATTGCCGGCGACAAATACTATGATCGACCAACGTGGTCAATGACGCGAATGGCCGCAGCCGAAAACATAACCAGTGACAAACGTCTGTGATAATGATCGCCAGGGCAAACTGCGCATGACAATATCGTACGGTTGAAACACAGCCCAACTCACCCTAACTCAACATGCGAATGCGGCTATACCCCGGGTAGCATTTCGTCAAGGTTTTTGCCATCGGAATATGGTATTCTGATGATTGCTCCGTGAGAGGTAGCGAGTTTTCTGAGATGACGAAACCTTTTCGATGAGTTTCTTTCCATGCAACGTCGTCGGAACGATGTTACATTTTACCCATTTTGAGAGGCAGGCCCCTGCCCCTACCCCTTTTTCAGCCCTGTTCTTAACCCACAACCCTTTATTTCGAACGTTATTTGCTCCTTACGATTTGTGACCTTGTGAAAATTCACATACGCCATATCAACATGCGACGATCAACATTACGTACAATCTACTTGATTTTTATCCAGCACCCAAACGATGGCAATCTTCCTGAAAATGTAGGGCCGCAATTCATCACGGCTGGAAATATACATTCAATGATGATCTTCAAAGTTCATCTTCCTAATATCCCAGCGTACTGCATGTACTTAACTATTTTACTTTATTTGCTTACCTGCTTCGCCCCATCCAGGAACGTTGGAAACGAAAAGCTCTGATCCAGATACGGCCTGATGACGAACAATTGGAGAAAAACGTTCTTGGCCATCTTGACGAAGCTCGGAAACACAATGTGAGGGAAATCCATTAGGTCCCGCGACCCGGCCATGTCCGATGACATGGCAAGACGGGACTGAATGGGCCCGCTGGCAGTCAATGTCTGCGCTTGCGTGACCTTCGGGCGGCACATTGTGTGCAGCTGTCCCCTGTTTCCATTGCACCCTATGCCAGCCAGGTGCAACACGGCCGACGTTGCCTTGGCTTTCTGCAGCAGCGATTCGCTGCCTTTCAATGTCAACAGAGCCAGCTGTGCCGATCTTGCTCCCAGCACACTAATTTGCGTCATGCAGGACATCGTAGATCGGCGATGCCCCCCTTCTCGCTCCTCAGCTGCCTTTTATCTTCAGACTCCTGCAAGCGAAAGCACATGCTAATATTTAATACTACGTGAAAAACATGTTCGGACATGGTAATATGCACACGAAAAATCGCATAGCCCATGACCAAGGGTGCACACCGCCTGCTACGAGGGCAGCGACCCAGGGGGCGGGGGGCGGGGAGAGGGTGGGAGGCGAGGAAAGGGCATGTTTTATGTCTCTTCTGGATCAACCTCTGGTCATAAATGTCATAAATGCAGCCGGGCACACGGACTTTATGCTTCGCCTGGGTGACCTTGTAGGCTGCCACTCGACTTGATCTAGCTGATGCCATGCTAAGGACATTTGTTAATTTTATACATAAGTATGCATTTAGCCATGACATGACATGAAGGAAGATAGTAACTGGTTGGCATGTTTGAAGCACGATAGAAGGTGCTACAAACTCAGTGGTGGAGCATGCGTCCGAGACGCCACCTATATCCTAACCAAATAATACCTTCCAGTGGCTGCACTTGCCCTTGCTCGTATCAAGCGGTAAATAAAATGAGATGTCAGCATAAAAACTGCATCCAGTACACCACTGGCATCATTCACTTCACAAAGACTCATCCTGGGCTCCAGATGTTGATAGGCCCATGGATCGTAAACCATGGGGGGCCCTTATATCAGTATCTGGTCAGGCGACCACGTGGGGTGATGACTAAGAGGGTCCCTTACCTCACCTGACAACAGGGGCTGCAAGGCGCCTCTGTCCCTCCCCTGGGCACCCACCAGCTCCGATTCTGGCGACATGGAGGTCGGACTTCAGGATCTATCCAAGGGCATTCAGAGGGATACATCCTCTATCACTTCCCTCCCTGACATGGGATGTGGCATGACACAGAAGGCTGCCTGACCAAAAGACATAGCTAACCTGAATGACACAATAGATCCCTCACTGACAGCAGGGGTTCCAATCGACAGAGATCCTAGTTTTGAACCAAGGGGTCTCCCATTTGGCACTGATGCCCCATTACAGACACAGGGCCCTTCCATTGTCATTTCCCATGCCTGCTCTCATTGTCACAGAGACTGTCAAACACACAAGGTGCTCTGACATTCAGGGTCCCCCTGTATCTCTTCACAAAACTGCCACCCAGACCCTGACCAGCTCAGCCCCCTGCAGGCACAGCATTTTTTGCTAGTTGATGCAGGCCCCATGGCCTCCACAAGAGCCCCTCATTGCCCAGGAGGGCTTCCATGTTCCTGCTGGCTGATCAGCACAACATGCCTTGTGACTGACATTTGAGGGCCCTGACCATGCAAGCCATGCTCCCTCAAAATCAAGCTCCCATCAGACCTCTGGGCCCCTTAACCAGGTCCATTAGCTTGGCACATCAAGAGCAAGGAGCATGTACCCCTGGACCCACATTGCTTGTGCCCCTGATGATGGCTACATAGCTCCAGTGGCATGGTGTTCAGCTGACACTGGCATTATGTGATGCCCATGAGTGCTTTACCAGCACATTGAAATTGTATTGTCACACAAAGGAATGCATATCAGTTTTGACAAACCACCAGTAATGTTTATTGAATTATTGAATTGTTGACAGCAACCTCTTATCAAGATATGCATTGACATCAGTTTCAAGACCTTTTACTTTATTCAATGTAGATATATGACATGTTTAGCATGACAAACTTATTGGAAACATTTTGTTGACACAAATATTGCTAAAGTAACATAGTAGGTATAGAAAGAGCTTCCTTTTTATGGCATCTCCTCTATATCTACAGCTTGCTATCCACTAATTAACCTTGAGGTTCTGCTGAATGCCTCCTAGAAAAAAACCCCATAATTTGCCAGCATCACTGGAAAAATGCTGCTAGCAATCCTGCAACACTCCACCAAAGGAACAACACATCTTGTGATACCATTAATTTTCTCTAGATTGTGATTACACTGATAGAGAATATCATAGTCTCAATCTTATGGTCAGCATAAGTCAGGCTCTTAGGCATCATGTCAGGTTAAAACTGACCCATTTCAACATGGCAAACACATATCCTTGCACAGAACTTCATTTGAGTGTTTGGGGAGGAACATAGGAAGAAAGATGGGATGCTGACCTATAACAGCAGAATTACTTGATGATAAAATGAATAGTTAAGAACCATGAAGCCTTCTTTACACTCCCGCTCCACAACACTGAAATCTTCTTTTTTTGTATGTGGGAGGTACAACAATCTAAAACAGTACAAGTGCACAACAATTGCACCACAATCTAAACTATTTCCATGCACAACCATCGGTGCATCTAGAACACTTCATTTAGGTGAATGGCCTTACTGCACAGTATTTGTAATATTCATTGAATAGTTATATCCTCGAGCCAGACAAGCCAGAGCCAGGGAAAAATGACCAGGGACCTTTAGACATCATGTTTACGACGTACCAGCACTAAATATTGGGGGTCACGAGCCAGCATTAGGCGAATTCATATCGACACTGAGGGCAAGAGCCTTACCAACAGCAGATAAATCGTCAGCCCTGCTTCCAATAACTCATCCGCGCTTAAATGCTGTGAATAATATGCCCCAAAACAATATCCACAAACCCAGCGCCGTGCCATCAGCTGCCTTAGCCTACAACAGCATTAAGTATCTGCTGCGTCAAGACTGTATTTTTACATTTGATTTGTATCCAAGCCGCTAAAGCTTTTTTACCTAGAGACCTCCACGGGTATTTGGTGGTATTTTGTAGCCTGGGCACTTCTCTAATTTTGTTGAAGTTTCCAGGAACGGGACGCACTGTGGTATGTCGTTTTGGTCTTGGCAAATTCAAAGTGGAAGTGGGTGGAGCGGTGGTTGGGCTGTGCATGCATGCGCACCAAATCACAACTATAGGCATACACCGTCTTTGCAAGTGATGGAGCAGTTGCTTGCGTAGCTATTTAACACACGGCGATTTATTTAGAAGCGTCCTCTGCTTGGCATGCACATTCTATGTTTGCCGCATCATGGGTACCTTAAATACCTTCTCATGTGACTCTTGGTGGATATGCGGCATGAAGATAAAGTGCGCGGCTAACTCCGCAGAGCTATAACAATAGGAACCAGGTGAAGCTATTACGCTGAGTGTAGATAAATAACGTGTCAATGGTGACTATATCGTCTAGCGTTGTAACCTCTTGCTCGCATGATACCCAGTATAAGCGTTCCAAAGTGAGTCCAGTTCGATGCGCAGGATGTAGATATGAAGTTTTTTTCGCTCCCCGGAAGCCTCCACACGCACATTTCGTTGGCAGCTTATATAAAGACATGAAGACATCTGTCCGACAAAAGGCCGCGAGGACCCATCAAGGCTGGCCCAGCCTTGATCTACCTCATGTTCCGAACGCGCCCTCGAAAATAATGTTACTACCTCACCTGCTTGAATTTAGCTATAAATGAGATCTCCAGACCGATAGGACTTGTCCAGACGGTTTTTGGATGTTGCTAGGGAAGTACTCACTACAACTTTGTCGACCCATTCCAATGGTTCACTACTCTTAGACTAAATGGCATCTACCTCATCATAGCTCTACTCCTATCATTTGCTAAATGAAGCTGGTTTCCTCCATGCCTCAGCCTAATTATCCGTGCTCCATGCAGATCTACCTTTCATGATCTTGTATACATGTTGTCCAATGACCCCAAACCCTGACATTCGACATCACCCGCCGATGTGCCGGCCCCGAGGTGTCTACATGCTTGGTTTACCGCCGGCTGGCTTAACACTCATTGGCCAATCTTGCGAAAGAGGGGAGCAACAGGCAGTGATGTCCGATCCGGGAGTGTGAAAGCGTGCAAAATGGCGGCATATCGACACCTTAAAAATGCCGGCATCGCACCCTGACTGCTGGTCTGGGTGCTGGTCAACTGGTCAAATGTTGCCACACGACCCAGTCCAAGCGACGTAATGCGTTATGAAACTGGATGGCGTTGTCGCCACTCCAGCCAGCGTGTGGTCCCCATATAACATTATCTTGTATCAAACCATGTGCATGTGCGGCGATGTGGAAATGCGCGGGTATGTTGAATGGTACAAATTATGTTTGAACGCTGGAGGAATTATCGGCCCTTACATTGCATTAAACCGGATCCAGCTGCGTAATCGGCAGAAATTTTGAACGTTATCGCCCGTATGCGGGCATATACCGCTGAACGATGTTTCTGCATCCGCGCAATACCATGACACTTTGCTGATGGCACCTCATGTTTTCAGTGCTGTTTTTCTTCACACGTTTTCAGTGATGGCATCACTGAACACATATAAAGAACGTGGGGCAACGGTCTGGTTGTGTGCGGCACTTGGCGCCACAACGAATTCCAGCCAAGTTATGCCAGAAAGGGGACCATCACAGGGAAGGATCCTGCCATGTTAGGCTAACTGGGCTCATTCAGGAGCTAATTTGACAACGTCCAATGCCTAATGTGATGTTGCTTTCCCTGCTTGTGCTCATGTGTGTGTCTCTTGTTCTGCATGTGTGTGTCCGCATGTTTGTTTCCCGGCATCATTGAACAAAATATATGTAAGAGATGCAGAACGTAAAATGCGGGAAGTGGAAGATGGGTCTAGGAGGCGGGAAGTTAACAGAATGTGATACGTGATGATGTCGACTTTGTATTGCCGTGCACAAGGCTAAATCTTGAATAACTGCGAGCATGCGCGCTCACGAGCAGGACTTGACGAGTCGTTCATCGGCTCGCAGCGCCTCCGCAGAACCAGAGCGTAATGCTCGAGTTTCAAATTGACGAGGATTATATCACTCTGCTCCTTCCACCCTGTTCCAGTGTGAGATGCCGGTATCTCCAAACGCGTTGAATACGATATTGATAATTGCCACGAAGCAGGTGACTACCTTGTGCTGCCGTGGAGCTAGTCGAGAGATGGTTACGGAATGCGGATCCTGTGGGGAAATGGAAGAATATCTAGCGGAAACCATTGGGGGTGGTGGTGGGGGCTGAGGCTGAGCCTCTCAAATTTTTAAAATATTTATATTTTCAATAGGGGGGATGGCTGTAAGGAAATCATAGGCCTCCCTCGCCTCCTTCCCTCCCCCTTTTCCCCGCCAAAATGGGAAATGCATCCATGTTCAGCATTGTTTCGGTCCATATCACACCGCTGCACCACTTGTTTTCGTCTCCAAAAAAATGCCCCATACGTGGCATTTTGCTTCCTCAGTGGTGAAAAGCCGTTTAGCGATGATGCATCCTTTATACATGTAGCACGCCTCCGCATTTAGTAGCATTCATCACCATCCGAATTGGCAGTGATCTGGCAGTATGGAATCCCAGTCATCTAGAACTCCCAGGTTTATCTTGAGATCCCGCACCGACATATCCTTAGAAAAGCTTCTAATAATTTGGCAGCCACAGCAGCCACTAGTGCTTTCTCTCCGGTTTCAAAATAGTGAGCGCGATCTCTGGGACCGTGAGCGTGTTGGAGACTGTTGTGGAACGCGATTAAAGGGTATGGATGCTGCCTTGCCTCGTGAGCGTGTTGGAGCCTGTTGTAGAACGCGATTAAAGGGTATGGATGCTGCCTTGCCTCGAGAAATACGCTGGGAATTCTCGGATCTTTAAGGAGCGATCAATGCAATCAAGGTCGCGTTGCCATTCGATGCGTCGAATTAAGAAATCCGGAATTAACATTTTATACCTTGCAATGTTATGCCCGGGCAAGGTTGCGGATTCGCAATGACTGCAAGCCTCAACTGAGTGTAGTATGGGAACAACCTCATAACAGATGACATTTCCAATGGCATTACATGCTAATAATGATGAAGGTTTATTTATGTATTTGCACTTGAATTTGCACACATTCTTGTGTTTAATTAGAATATGATTTTTCCTGAACATTATCCCTTAAGTGAATGTTGTATGTTTGAAGATATCATAACAGCCATCACATTTGATGATGTAGTCTCACTTGTATGTAAGTATACTTTTAGGTGAAAAAGACTGCTCTGGCAGCACAATTTCTTTTGAGTAAATATGCTGCTGAGTATGTCATTGATTGTCAGCCTACCCTGCACACCATTACTTGAAAGCCAATTGATGGTAGTTGAATCCAAAAATTGAAACCATGCTCATTGATGTCAGATATGAATGATGACCGCTAGGGTGACCTTGAAATAGCATGCACAATAGTTGCTCTGCACATCTTTGGTTGGGGTTATGCAACTCAGGAATGGGAGGGACAGGAGGGACATTGGTCATAAGAAGGGCAGGACTGGAACTGCACCAAATCATCTTTGAAATGGCTTCTTCAGTTAAAACCCACATAGAACTGTGGAACACTCCCTTCAACAGGAACGCATGGCTCATTAGCTGGATGATATGCCTCTAAAGAAGTAGAGATGATATTCTGCAGCTGAGGTTTGCATTAGTTTCTTTATTTAGGTTGGGCCTTCATATTGGATAGATTGGGTAGATGTGATCAGTATCCACATTTTGATGTTTATATGACCCTTGACCTCACTGCAAAATTGGGAATTTCTATACAACGGCCAGACTTTTGTGTTAAAAGCTGGATGGGCAGGCCACAATCCTCAGCGTGGTCAGTCTTCCCTTCTGGGATCTCCTGGGTTAGCTGCTGCCATTCACAGGTTGTCCCAGTCAGCCAAATAACAGGTGCCTAAAGTGGCTGGGACCCAACCTGCCATAGGGTGTCATTTTGAATGCAGACATGCTCTCTGGAAAATGAAGGCACTGGGATGAAATAAAGCTCATTAATGTATACTTGCTTGCTTTGTTCGATGACAGATGGTGGCCTCCCATTCTGTCTGCCATCTGGTGTTATCCCTGGCTTTGAGGACATCCTTGGTATGCCAGGCTTGGTTTCCTACAGATATTACGTTTGCTTTCTTAACAATGGTCCAGAAGTAAGGCAAGCAAAACAGTGATGCCCCCAAAAGCTGCAAGATGATACCAATGATTGTCCTAATCTGTTTTCCCAGATGATCTTGCACATTGTTTATGATAATTGCCTTAAATATATGCTTGCCTGGCTGCTTATGTCATCTTTGGTTTGCAATGTGGGTGTTTGTTATTTTTGTTACCAAGAAAGCGTGGTGCAATTTTAAAAATGAAGTTTGAGCTTGAGTATCCCTCAGATGCCTGCCTCTGTTTCCTTAGTAAACACCTCTAATGTATTTGTGTGTTATTCCTCCTGTGTGCCAGCAGATGGAGCTGAGCGTGACAGCTGAGGTGGATCTGGGTCAGCTGTTGTCAGCGGCTGCTGGGCGGGCCCGACGCGTGGCCAGCTCCAGCCTGGACACAGAGGAAACGACCAGCGTGCTGGAAAACCGCCGGCGCCGGCGCCGCACAGCCGAGCTGACGGCGGCGCTGCTGCAGAAGGCGCGCGTCGACACCACCGCCGCCAGCCGCTCGGCGCTGGACAGCACGGCCTCGAGCGAGCCGAGCCTGTGCTCTGAGGCCAGCGCCGAGGAGCGGGCGCGCGCCTTCCTGGAGAGCAGCTGCGGCGGCCTCTCGCTGCTGGACGCCAGCCTGCTGCTGCAGGAGCTGCGCTCGCCGGCTGTCCGCCGCACGCGCCACAGCACGCGCCGGCTCC